ACAAAATCAGCGAGTGCGACCTGAGTTCTTGACGTATCGCTCCCATCAAGGGCTCCGACGAACCCTATGGTGAAGGGTTTGCTGTTCCACACGTTGGTTGTTGGTTGTCGGTCGGGACACGAGCGTAAAAAAATCATTTCGCATCACACCAAACGTGGAGACTCCCAAACGTCACGAGAGGGCAAAAAAGCCGAAAAAAAGCCGCGTTCTGACAGAGGCGCGACAACAGCGCAATTGATTTCTCGCTCCCTAGGCCACTGATTGACGCCAAACCGGTCAGGGTGTGCTCTCCGTTCCTTGCTCTCTCTCGGAGTGGCGTGGCTCAGGAGCTCGCAAGCTCAATCGACGGAAATCGTTGTCTGCGTGTGCGCACGCCATCCGTTGCAAAAAGTTTTCAGGTGTTCAACAAGTGACTCTATTCGCAAGTGAATAACAAGGGCGAAAAAATCAGTTCGAAAAAACAAAGTGACGCCACGCACAATTCTCTCTCCATTGATTGAGCTTGCGAGCTCCTGAGCCACGCCACTCCGAGAGAGAGCAAGGAACGGAGAGCACACCCTGACCAGTTTGGCGTCAATCGGTGGGATAGGGAGCGAGAAATCAATTGCGCTGTTGTCGCGCCTCTGTCAGAACGCGGCTTTTTTTCGGCTTTTTTGCCCTCTCGTGACGTTTGGGAGTCTCCACGTTTGGTGTGATGCGAAATGATTTTTTTACGCTCGTGTCCCGACCGACAACCAACAACCAACGTGTGGAACAGCAAACCCTTCACCATAGGGTTCGTCGGAGCCCTTGATGGGAGCGATACGTCAAGAACTCAGGTCGCACTCGCTGATTTTGTCTATCGAGGTGTCCACAACCCCCAAGTAACATCAAGATAGATGCAGTTTTCCATACACACGTACATGTAATAATCTTGATCTTGGGGGGGGTCGCTTTTATCTTGCCAAGGTTTTGAAGAATCAAGATCAAGATTTGTTTGCCATAAACAGTGGTCTTAGGGGGGGGGTTAGGGTCAGGGTTAGGGGCTATATACAGGAGATTGGGGTCAGTGGCGGCGAGCAAGCATTACGTACCCGAGTTGCAAGTCCCCGTTAAAGTCGTTTTCTTTTGTTCATTACAACAAGGCATCGATCACTCGGAGCCCCCACAGCGGAGCTGCGAGCGTGGGCTGCTGCTGCTGCTGCTGCTGCTGCTGCTGCTGCTCGAGCTGTTTTGTGCCTGCGACTTGAAGGAGTTGTTGCCGTAGGTGGCTGGGTAGCGTGGCTGTGATGTAATGTCGTGGGATGGGATGTGATGTGATGGGATGTAAATGTAATGTATGTAGTGTGCCAGTCCCCGTGGTGAGCTCCAACCCTACTGCTGTGTTATACGCTAGCGAGGATCGACCGTAAACGACTCTCTAAAATGCCTGTCCCCTCCAACGCAATGCATGCATGCGGCCGTAACTCTTGAGCTCGTGTGTGCGAACGAACCAACAACTTTTGTGTAACTTGACTTGACAACTATCTGCACGGACCCGGCTCGCTTGGTGTTGGCATGGTGGTGTGCGTGTGACGGCGGCAGGAGGAGGCCACCAATGAGCTGATCCGAACGTTCGAGTCTAGAGACGACGACGTCTTCGTGTGCACGTTTTGCAAGTCCGGGACGACGTGGGTACAGCAGATCATAACACTGGTGAGAGACGAGGGGATGGTGGTACAGTACGGCTGTAGTACACCGGACGCACAGGCGGGACGTTTTAAACTTCTTGTGGGCCACCATAGATGCCACGCCGAACGTAATTTGTCAATTGACCGCATGTAGGTAACTTCAAGGCAAAAAGGGACACGCCATGGTGAAAAAGGGGCAGCTTTCCTTTCAGAGATTGCTACAGCAGTAGCAGAGAGAGAATCTGGTGCATAGATCAAATAGACCGCCGACACGCCCACCTTCAACACCCATTCACCTGTCTCATGCATCGTACTTTTAGTATGTCGGGACTGCCGCAGGGACAGCAACAAAGTATCTTGTTTCCTGTCTTAGAAGCGTGAACGAAGTTGTCACCGCTGCTGGCCTACATGGTTCCGATGTTTGCCAGTTCACGAAACGACAGCACCTGTCTGTCCAATATCCGCATCCAAAAGAGGTACGTATGGTGCCGCGTCACTCGGTTAGGGCAGGACGGCGGAGGTAAGTCACAACGTTCTGTAGAACGAGTGTACGCTTAGCACTGCGCGTGAGGCGCTTTTGCAGTTGGCGGTGCTAAGCTCGCCGGAGTCGGGTGATCAAGATATGGCCTGGCGAAGCAAGCAAAATACAGAGAGAGGACACTGCATTCGTGTCTTGCTTGATTATATGCGTATGATATGGCGTCGTCATGCCCAGGGACCAGCCGTCCTGATAGCGGCAAGCATTGCCATGGCTGATGACTGAAATGGAGGCTTGATCGTCGATAAAGAGCGACATGTTTCAGGCGTCCTCTCCATACCGTACATGACACAAGATATCACACCCCCTGGACCGAATTTCAAAGCTCGATTTTCAGCAGCAGCAGCAGTCGCAGGGCCTATAACAGCGGCGTTGACGCCGTCTGGTCGAAAGCTCTCTGAAAAGGTATCCTTTCGTCTACGCATCCTCTTCGTCGTGGAGTAACGAGGTTTAAAAATCGGTCCAGGGGGTGTGTTATCTTGTGTCATATAGGTTATTGTACCGAAAGGCCTCCGCGCTGGGCTTCCGCATGGTGACAATGATGTCCCGATGGTAAGGTATGTAGCGTTTGTTTTTGGAAACGACAGAAACAAAACAGCGGTCGCGTTGATTCGCGAGAACTACAGGACTCCGGGAGGTGGGGCGTCTTTGTTTCTTCCTTTTTGCCCCACAGTAGTGCCTCTATCGTACAGTATGATAGCTGACCATGACCCATAACCCACCTCATGTGCGTGAACGTCATGGACGCCAATATTGGGAATATTGGAATATTGGCAGCTGCTCAACAACGGAGAGCAGGGGGACAAGAACTATACGTCGGTGGTGCCATGGATGGAATCGCTGCTCTTCACCCAATCAGCGGACCAGCCGCGAGGACCTGGCCGAGACCACGAGGTAAGTGGTGAGTGGATAGACCACATTATCCCCTGTCACGAAACAGCATGTAGGTCTGGTGTGCCTTTCCGCGATGCCACTTCAAGCACAAGCTTTGGGGTGTACAGTACTCTACTCGGATTCTTTTTTCGGGCTTATACGTTCGTTCCTTGACTACGCATACAGTTTACAGAATAAGCATGGTGCTGTAGTCCCGCCTCACATGCGGTGAAACCAACTAATCCCTTGCGTCACCACTAAATAGTGGTATGGTGCGCCGCGGGCTGCGTGGTCTCCGTGCACACCGTGGGCTGGGTCACGTATTTAATTTGTCCGCTACATGCGTTAGACGTACGGGGTGCGCATCAGCTTGTTCGATACCTACATCTTAACCTTGCAGCCAGGCTCTCCTCATCAACCCTGTTGTGCTTTTGTGCACCGACCGTGCACATCTGAAAACCCCTTGATGTTGATGATGGCTACGCAGCTGTGATTACAAGCTGCGTGGTACCCAGTGCGAACGAACCGTCTTGTGTTCTAGTCGCAAGCAGTCGAGTCGGCGTGCACAACAGCTTATTACAGGAATGGATGTATCTCTCGCACGGCTGTTGTTTGGCGACCGCATGCTGTTTAACCGTTGTGAAGGTGCCCCAGCTGTTGGAAGCAGCCGGGTCCTAGGGTACACTAAGAGGTACGGTCGCTTCATGCCTTGTCACCGCGATTGTGTAGACTTGAGATGTTGCTTGAATTGAGAACGAGGAAGGTCTGGTTGAGGGGATCCTCCTAGCAACCAGGGGGCACGCAGATAGCTGAGTCTTGATGTGGTCTGGTCCCTCAGAGGTATACCTCCCGGCCATCCCACATCCAATTCTTGACAAATACCTAACCTATATAGGCCCTACAGCTTCAACATCGTGTTTTCACTCTGCCGATGTTGTACTGAAGGGTCGTACCACAGCGTCCATGGTATTACAATACTGGTATGCTTGTGTGTCGATACTACAGGGGCCCAGAAGCAGCCAGACCCACCGGTGTCAAACAGGTTGGTGTTGAAGAAACTACCATACGGTGCTGATGCACAAGGTTAAACAAGGACTGATCTCAACCGAGCCAGATCATTGCTCGTCCTTGCCTAAAAGCTTGAATGGATAACTTATGTATGCCTTTTTTGGTTTTTGCTGTCTCCGAGCTGGGAGGACGAAGGGGAGGAGTCCTTTTCTGTGCTTGTATCTGTACTTGTGAGCACACAACGAGAGACGGCGATCCCGCGGAAGAAACGTTTGCCAGCCGCGAGGCTTCTGGATGTAATGGCGTTTCAAGAAGCTTACCCAAACGACGCGACGGTTGAGAAGTTTGAGCACTGCACTTGAAGAAATGCAGCTGGCGCGTTTGCGCTCACTATTGTAGGCATGTCAGCGCCTTGGCTTTGGGTGAATTCTCCATCTCCCATCTCCTATCTCCCATGTCTCATCTCCAATCTCCCGTGCGGTGCCGAGGATAAAACGAACATGGCGAAAAAAACCTCGCGTCAGGCTTATGCTGTGGGCTGAACACTTCCCCATAGGCGGGCGGTCAGCTACCTCCAAACGGCCGTGGCCGTTTTCATGTTTTATCCAGCGAGGTTTGTGTCGGTGACAGCACCAGGCGGCGGTCGAGAGAGAGAGAGAGAGAGAGATGGATGTCGAACCGAGTGTAACTGTAACTGCATGCACCCCTCATTTGATCGCTTCTTCTTGCGACTCACCGCTCCTGCGACAACACCAGGCTAAGGGCTGGACACTCGAGAAGATCAAGTCTAACCCTGAAAGGCGCTTCTTCAAGTCGCACGCTAACCTCAAGCAGCTGCCAGTGGGCACTGCCAAGGGGGTGAAGGTCAGTCATGTTACCACTTGGTACAATGGAAGTACGGAAGGGTTGGAGCTGATCTGTTGCAGGGCGAATCATGAGGCATGGGGTAAGTCTCCCCACTGCTGACATCGTTGTGCGCGCGAGCTTTGTGTTCGCTCTGTTCTTCGCCATCCATGTACCATTAACACCGTAACGTAACGCGCAAGACGGGTTCTTTTGATGTGTGTCCCTGGAACTTGAACAAGCCGCAGAGTAGGTTCAACAACGAGGCCGAGGGAGGTACCGGACTACCAATACACCGTGATGGCACCCGTAAAAGACGAGTTTCAAGATGATCCCAGTGGCGTCCTCTCCCTTGCTTGTCTTTGGTTTTGTTGCTGCTGCAAGTGACTTATCGCCGTAAAGTGGACCATCTGGGTCAGTTTAATTTAACATGTCCGCCTTCCCCCTAAAACGGCTGCATGCCAATGCTAAATAATGCGTGCATGTATCACACACACGACCGCAGGTGATTTACGTGGCGCGGAACCCCAAGGACGTCAGCGTCAGTCTGTACCACCACGTCCGCAACAAGCAACGGAACGTTTTTGACGGAGACGAGTCGGACATGATCCGCTGCTTCGTTCAGGGAAGGCGAGTGTATGACGGTCCTCATTTGTACATGAAGTCGAGGGGCCATCACCTGGTTTGGAGCGCAAGAGTTGCCTTGTGTCTTCTGTGTGCTCATGGGGAAGCCCTTTCCAAGCACGGTCACCACGGAATACGGAAACTCAGTGTCGGCAAGAGTTGTCAGAAAGGATAGTGGTGTTTTCCGCCGTCAGGACGATGACAGCAACGACGTACCTCGGAAATAGCTCCGGCCTCGCCTCACTCCAGCACATCGTACGTACCCATCGTATCTTCTGTGGAGTTGGTCGGATTTACCGGCTCATACTTGTATAATAGGCAAATTGCTCAACCTACCTCCACTAGCAGCGAGAACTACGACGGTCATCGGTTGCTAAGTGATAGGCAAGGACGATGGGAATAATGTTTTATCTATCTGGTGTGTTGTCATTCTGTGTTCGGTCGTTCTCTAGCATACGCCTTTCATGCTGTTGCTGCCGGCCAACTATTTTTTTTACGTTTTATCTGTTTCACGCCGGCTGTACGATCGATCGATCCCCTGCTGTGTCTCCGTTTTTTACCTCGGGTTGAGGAAAGCGAACGGCGCCAGATGCCTTCCGAGTCGAATTGAGATATCGTGTTGTATTCATCGCCTGCAGTACACCTGTCTTCGAAAAGCTCACGCAGAGTCCAGGGCAGGGTCGACATCACTTGATTAACCGAGCTAAAAAAACTTGAGGTGCGGCCTGTCTTCAGGACGAAAGGACGGCAAAAGCGAACTAGTTAGGCTATAAATATCATGACTGACCACCTAACGCCATGCCTGCCTCTACGTGTTTTCCTAATGCACCTCGCGACAGATGCGAAAACGGTTCGTGGTTTAACCACGTGCTGGAGTGGTGGGAGGCAGCTCAGGCGGATCCGGATCACGTCCTGTTCCTCCACTACGAGAACTTGCTCAGAGATCCAGAGGAGAACATCCGGAAGATCGCACAATTCGCGGGCATCGAGCACACGCCCAAGACCATTGCCAAGGTGCGTGACCCCAAGAATCCGTTCCGTTCTCGCTCAAGTCTGATTGTGGTGTGGTGTGTCTGCTAAGTACGTCTGGCAGCGTGCTCCTATTCCAACAACGGTGCCAAAAGCGTAATCAAGAGAAGAGCACTTTTCTGTGCGACGCGTACTCACTTTGTTGCAACACGTGAAGAATCTGCATATCTGAAGTGTACCTTCTTGTCGAATGCGAGGCAGTGCGAACTCAAGAGCGACGTTTTGAGTTTCTGGCATGCGTCCTGTGACAGCCAGCCTTTGCGTCGAGGGTCGGTACTGCCTTAGTGGCATAATGGTCATTCTCTCCTTCCTCAATCGCGCCCAGTAATTCCGCACTGATCTCAAAGGATAAAGCGTGCTACGATACATACTCGTATGGTGTGAAATGGCGGAAACATGTTGGCTCTAACGCTCCATGGGGAACGACAACGTGAGGGACTAGCACCTCAAGACGACAGGGGAACAGAGCGACCACCATCCGACGATTTCGAAAGCTCTTGTACCGATGCGAACAAAACATGTGCAACCATGGAGAGGGCAGGATATTGTTCAGTGCTGCTGCAGTCTCGCCGAACAACCAAAGCGACCAACAATCGTAGCTGCGGCAGGGTGTACGTGCCGCGTCCAGTGCATCCAAGCCATTACAAGCGGCCCTCCCAGTGGAACCATGGAACACCCCCAGACTAAATTTACGCCAGAATCTTGGCCAGGAGGGGGGGCTATCGTTTAGGATTTGGTATGGTGGTATTAAACCTATTTATGCTTAGTTACATGGGATATAGCATTGTGTACTAAAACCTATTCCACGTGATAATACGACCTATGACATGTTTCGTTGCGCAGGATTTTGAATGGCAATACGTCAACCGATTGGATGGAGTATGGCAATACTCAAACCTCCACACGCACAAGTGTATTGGACGGGTTCTAGAATGCCGTGCTACGGCCTGTAGAAGATGGTACAGGCATACTTGAACCTATTCTCCCAGTAACATATTGATTTAGAATATACAGGTCTTGCTATATTCCACAAATCCGCTGGGCGTGAATCTTGGTGCGGTTGGGGGGCGACAGGGTGCTACTTGATTTCCACTGGGAGGGCCCCTTGGCCAATGTTGTCCATCCGTGATGATAAATTGATAGGCATTGCCTACTGACGTGTCGTACGTTAGCCCATCCATCTTCAGCGCTTCTGCCCGTAACATAAACTCCCGACGCCTCTTGTCATGACGAAACAGTCAAGCGCCGTTAGACCTCAAGAACAGTGTGTTGACACCCCATGCGTACGCTGATGGGGCACACAGGTCCCACGGCACTCTGTCGGGTCAGCAAACTCTGTTCGCGCTATGTACATTCCACGGCTCTGCCTTGATTTTGTTTCCAGTCTCACCCAGTCTTCGGTCCGCTCTGTACAGTCATGCGATGCCTGTTGACTGCTGTGCTTCAGTAGCTGGCGGCGGTGTTGGCCTCGTGTGCTTTCGCAGCATCCGATCCTTGTAGTGCTGACGTTGCCCCCACTACGCGCTGTCCGTTGTTGCCGTCCCTCTAGACGATTCAAGCATCCACCATCGATGCAATGAGGCAGAATGCCACGGTGAACACCAGGCCCGGCGAGAACCACTTCCGCAAGGGGGGTGCCGGGGGTTGGCGCGACGTGTACACGGTGAGGGAGTCGGAGGCTTTCGACCAGATCTACATGGAGCAGATGGAAGGCACTGGCCTCAAGATGGATTTCGGCGAGGGACTCGTCATGCCTTAGTCTAGCAGTGCAAGCAGCACGCACCCTGTAGAGCACGGAATTTTGTCGGGTCGCTCTGTACTGCTGTCGTCCGCTCATGTCTGGTTCTAGAATACCTAGCCAGTTGGATAGCGGTGGACGTGGTAGGCTGGTCCGGGTATTTGTGCCCCCCGCCCGTGTCTAGCTAAAATCTCGAGCGGCGAAGGACGGTAATGCAAGTAATAGTTCTTTCTACAGTGCCTTGCCCTCAACGTCGTGTACGAGTCAGCCCTCTGTCCTATGCACACGTGCATGAAACCATGCGCATGCTCAATTGCGACCGTCTGTACCAAGACCAACTCGTGTACCGGAAAGGTTTCGGCGGCTTTGTTTGCCCTGAAGTGTGTACAGCAGTACAGAAGAAACCAACACCGGTGTAGGGGTAGGTTTGCGATTGACAGCAGTCTTGCTGGATGTATTCGGCCGCATAGAGCAAAGGGATTCGACCTATGGTCTGTCTCGCTTGCACCCGGCCGGCACGAGTGTTATCCACTCTTCTTTGAAGAGTAGAGCAGTCAACCCTTGTATGCCGGTACATATTGCACCGAGGCACCGCATTTTTCTCGCGGCCCCTTAGTGAAGGGAAGGGACCACTGTTTGCTGTTGCACATACATTGTATCGCGGTTAAATGTAGACCTTCCCGTAATCAAGCGAGTGTTACAGGCTCCAAGTATCGTAGCGTAAGTAGGCGAAGGGTGAAAAATCAACATCAAGAGGGGGATATATACATGACCGAATGGAGTCGGTCTGTCCCTCGATTGCAGGTGGTGCCCGAACGATTGCGTGTCTTGGTGCGCGTGGCACCAATTTGCTAGGAAGGGCGAGTCGCTCGAACGAGCGTGCGTGCGTCTAGAATACCAAGCCCACGCAATTGCTGGTCAGGGGGTGGGAGGGGCAAGGGGCCCTCCATGTAGAAAACGTGGAACGCCCCACCCATCCCCCCCGGGCCAAGACTGGCACGCAGGATAGCCACTCTAGGGGGCTCACTTGCAGCGGTCTACTATGTAGGATTTAAGTGTTTCCGTAGTAAAACCAATATGCTCTTCATTGTATAAGATGTCGCGCCGCATTCTGAAACCCATATAAAACTCTTTGGTGTGCAGGCTTTAGTATCGTTCGTCGTATCATACTATACCATCCAATACACCCCCCCCTCCTCGCAACTGTTACGGCATTTGGAGGTAAACATGTGATCGCTCGCCCTCTCGATCGGTTTTGAGACTGGCTATTATTGCTTCTTTCTGCTCTTGGCTCGCCCTCTTTATCCCTTTGAGACTGGCTCTTGCCTCGCGTACTTTCCCGCCACCGTTTGTCACATGTCGGTTGTTTGCCGAAAGTTTTCGCTCCCCTTGTACTGTTTTTTTCAACGCGACCTAGGTTTGCTCCTAGTGTGATGCCACCCCCCCTGTGTGCATTGTCAACGTCCCGCTTATGGTTTGCTTTGCATTTTTATGGCCCGACGTTCCGCCGGTGCTTCTATTCCATGCCACGGTCAACGTGTTCCTTACTGCTACATTTTCTAGCATGTCCTTGTAATGCAAATGGCCTTGATGTACGGGTAGGATTGTTTTTTCACGCTCCCCCCCCGATCGCAAGCAAGCGCGTTTGCTCGTGACAATCGAATGTTTTTTGTATGGCGTTTGTGTCCTGCCCGTTTCGTTGGCCGTTGTTCAATTACATTCCCCTGGAAATCCCCTCTTCCCATGCTTCTTCTCGATTTTGGTCAGCCCTTTGCGGTTTTCCATGTCGTTCGCAAGGCATTAAAGGTTAGGTTGGTTGCAATTGTTTTTCATTTCAGCACTCGATCGTTTCGTTATCACCTTCCCGCAAGGTTCTGGCTTGCTTTTGATTGCGTACAAATTCGACCTGTTCATCCGTCCGAGACCGTTTGTGAATTTTCCTCAGCGTTTTCGTTACTTCGTGTTATGGTCTTTTCGGTTCGCATGTTTCGGTTTATTGTTCGCACCCCGCCAGCCTTTCTCCCGGCCGACTTTGCTACCCCCGGCTCCTTTGTGTTGGTGTTCTTGGTTCCGCTTCTCTTGTTCGGTTAACGCAGAGGTACGGGTGAGGGTTTTGAATTGTCGCATCTTTGATCCATCCCGCCGTCATCTTGATTGACTAGAGTCCCTCCAAAGTTTGCTTCTGCATCTGCATCTACCACCACTCAGGGTGGGCCAGTGCTATGGTATTTGGAGATAGTCATGTGATCGTGGTTGACCATGGTTATTTGCAGGGTTGTTCACGGTTATACCGAGTCGCGGAGCGGTTTTGTCAAATTGTGAAATTCCACGGCTGGAGCGGAGCGGTTTTTGTCATTAATAGTCTATAGACTATATATGTATCACGGAGCAGGACGGAGAGGTTTATCCGAGGTTAGAATCTCACCGAGCGGAGTGGTTTTTCTCAAGGGAACAGCTCACGGTTCGGAACCGCTCCGAACCGTGGACAAAAACCAGGGCATTCTTCGTTAGCGGTTTTTCGTGTCGGCATAGTTTCCCGCGTTAACCAAAAACCATGAAACAACACCGTATTTTTTGGGCGTTAACCGGCCACCACGGCACAGTACAGTAGTTTTTGGGCGGTAACTTGCCACCACGGTAAATTCTGCAACTGGTCAACACGGTCAATTCCGTACGGTAACTGGTCACCACGGTAATTTTCTTTTACGGTAACCAGCCACCACGGTAATTCACAGAAATGCGCATTCTGTACGGTAACTGGTCACCACGGTATAAGTTGTTCAGTTAACCACACCGTGACACGTTTGAACGGGAAAAAAAAGCATATTTCCCGAAATAAAAGTACTCCCAAGAAAAAGAAATGAGATGACGGAGAAAAAAAAAAGAATAGACTCTCGGACCCTCCGTTTCCAGAGGTCTATGGGCGGAAGGATAAACCTATTGGACTAGAGAGGCAGCGGTCATTTTATTATGATCTCCGGGAGTCCACTTGATGTTTGTGTGCGGTTATTGGGATCTTATTGTTCTCACGGCAATGTACCCCGCGGTAACTCGAAAGCACGGGAAAAGCGATTTCTGCGCGGTTAACTTTTGTACGGTAATGGGAAAACTCATTTTGTTCGTTGACGCTTTGGGCGTTAACGGTAATTCTCATTTTTCACGGGATCACGGGAAACGGCAATTACCGTGATTTTTCGGCAGTAAAATTGCCTTAACCGGCCGCTGGGTGGGGGGGGGGGACAACACATGGTACAGGCACATGCACCGGTGACGTCGCAAACGTAGGGCGGCGTACCGCTACGGTATGTACTCCGAGTATGCAAAAACGAAACCAACCCCGAAGTCGCGGCTCTCTTGCTACCCCCTCTGGTGAATTTTTCTGCAGCACCACGCCGTCAATTATTACTTGTCCTAGCGGGCAGGCGAACAGTGCCAGGGTTGGCCATGAAGAGAGCCGCCCCCCGACCTCCCATCGTTGTAGCACCTGCCCCGCCTGCTTGCACATTGACCGTCGCCAGAAATTGGTCCACGAGGGCTACGGCGACTATCGGTGAAAACTTATCAGACAAAATACTCGCGGCTTGCCCGAGCTTCTTCGTTACGTCGGCATACAACACTTGTCTATCCTGGTCCGTGGGTCTTCATTAACAAAGAAAGCCCTGAAGAAAAACAAACCGTGAACAACCCTGGTTGTTGGGCGTTATCAGATGCTATGACGTGGCGTCATGCTAGATTAGGGCTTTACGCCGAGGCATGTGCCCTTCTGTTCAGTGTGCGTACGATACGGTGATGGTGTGTGCTTGGGATCTTGTGGGTCAGCTTGGAAAGCGTTAAGAAAGGTAACAACGAAGAGCAACAACAACAACCTGCACCACCTGTGGTCGGACACGAGAGTTCCACACAGCTCAATAGTGGTTGATTCTGAAGGCAGGGGTCAAATCTCATTACACGACCAAGATTGACGCGTAGCCTGGGGTGTTCCATGATTCCCATCAACTCTGTTTGGGACCCTGCGCGCGCTAGCGAAAAAAAGCGCGCGAAAAAATTCGACACCCCGGGGATTTGGTCAAAATCTCCCCCCCCAGGGTCATATAAGGTCTCCTCCCCCCGCCCCCCCCGCGATCAAGATTGACACGTAACCTAGGTGTTCCAAGAAATCTACATGGAGGGCCCCTTGGGAGGGGTTTCTTCGTCGGGTTCGTATGCATTCTGTACAGTGGTACAATATCCGCTAGAAAGAGACATTCATTGTGTGGTCGCCATCCGGGGCAAACGATGTCTACCCTGTCACGGTCCATGTACAACATATGTTAATTAATGTTCAGTTTCAAGGAGTGGTGCCGTGGGCGGTGGCTTGCTCCTAGAGATAGATGAAGGTTCTGTCGATGACACGCTTGTCCACGACCACGTTGAGATGGGAAAGTTGCTTGTTATTGCTGAGAGACGATCAGCAAAGGTCTGCTGGGATGAAGTGGGGATCCAACTTCATCTCAGGGGGTACACAGAGTAGACAATTCTAAGGGGGTAGGGGTCAGAAGGGTATACCTCCTGACCGACCCGCATCCTATCAAAAATAAGATGTACCCTATTCATGCTAGCAGCCACACTCCTTGACATCAGGGTGTCCTAGCGCCAAGGTAGACTTTTCTCGGGGTCGGGGTGGTTGTTGAGATATTATTTGGAAGTAATCCCTCCTCCAGGCGCACCTTTCCTAAAAATTTGTAACTTGTTCCAAGAAAAAACTTGCACAAACTTGAATTCTAGGCGGGTTCCGAGCTAAAGCCGAATTTATTTGGGGGGAGGGGGGAACGGATCGTCACCATCCCCCCCCTGTCTTCGAAAAAAATATCCCATGATTCTTGGCCATAATGATGATGCTGTGCAAAATTTGAAAATCAAACTCGTTCATCTTACCCGGGTTTCAACACACTTTACCTATATCAGGC